AAGATGACTTTCGTCGGATTCGAACCCATACCTCCTGCTATTCGGCAGTTGTCATAAGCCTATTAGACTAGAAGGCGCATCTTAATCATCGTTTAGCGTTAGTGTGATCCATTAGGGATTCTTTTCAAGTTTTTAGCATAAATTAAATCTGAATAGTATGAATAAAAAAATAAAAACGAAAAAAATAGATTCTCTTCTAGGATCTAACGAATTAGAAAAAATATATATTTTTCGTTTGTAGATGAATTATTTATATCAATGCATCAAAAATTATGCAATAATTATCATTGTATAAAATTTTTTAATAAAAATATTAAATATTCTTGAAATATCATCAATATTTTCGTTCACATATAAAGCAACATAGGTTATTCTAGAAAGTTATCAATATCTGCTATTATCAAGAAAGAAATGATGCATACTATTACTATAGAAAATTTGAAGAGCATTTGTAACTGTATCGAAAAAAATGTAGAATTAAAGATGTTAAATGAAATATCATATTAGAAATTCAAAATACGAAAATTGAAGAATTTTTAGTTTTTTCTTGTTTCAATTAATCGATCATCCAGCTGAAATGAATGTTAGATCTATGTTATTACATAATGTTTCAATAGCAGACGAAGAAATTATTATGATATTAGATAAATTTGCGTATGGGTTTATCTTAACTTCACTCATACACACACTCAAATCCATCCATCATTGAAATTTTTGTTTCATTAAGAAAATCGCATAATAATAACAGTTAGCACAGAAAAAAACTTATTATGTCCTGCTCAATATGGTACATGGCGTTTTTTCTTATGAATAATAAATATTGCAGTTTTATCAATGAAATCTTGTTTTTCATAAGTGAGAATGTTTAAATATTGGGAATACGAATATATTTATCTCTTGCTAGAAATATGACAGGACAGCAGCTGTGAAAGTGAGGGTGGTTGTACATCCCTCTCCCAATAACCAAAAATTTTCAGTTTTTTTCGGCAAAAAGCTGAGGTTTTGTCTAAATTTTACACTTTTTCTGTAAAATTTTCTTGAAAAAAACATTTTGTATCCACTCCCCCCCCCTTCCCCATATATTTGATCCTTCGCGAGACCACTGTAAGAGGAAACGATAGTAGTTTAGAGAATAAATTTATTATTTTATTCATAGTTTGCGAAAGATTATTTTATAAGATAATTAAAATATTAATCTATTAAAGATTAAGACTTAAGAGAAAGATATTCACATGTTTTTTGACTAATCACACTTATGGAACATCTAAACAAATATTAAGGAAAATAATAATTTCATTATCTAATAATTTAGAAGATTAATGAAATCTTAATCGAGAATCGAGAAAAACAAAACAATATTATTTGTATTTGATCTATATAAAACTGAATTATTTGATTAAAATATTGAAAATATTTTGATAAATTATTTTCTAAATTAACTCAAAAAAGATAATTGTTGGTTTAATCACTTAATATTACTCTAAAATTTTGATAATCAAATATAATACAATTGATCATAAATATCTCCTACGATAATTTATCAAATATAAAATAATATTATTTAAAGAATTATATCGAGGGTGTTGGGTGTGGGTTGGGGTCTATGGTTGTGGATAAAGAGATGAGACACCCACACCCTTAAATAAACTTAAAATATCTCATGAATGATAAAATTTGAATTTCATTAGAAATTCATATCAATAGACGTTTCGTTAACGAATTATGAAAAACGTTTTATAAATTTTTAATCTAATAATGAATGATGAAAGTGTGGAGATAACACCACTTAGTCGTGTACTATCTTGTGATGTCATCTCAAACATAGTTCACTAAATAATAAAATTTATCACTACTATTAAGAGAAAATATTTTACTCGAAAACTCAACAGTTAAACAAACAGTTGTTTATAATGGAAAACCTTATTTCTGGATAAATCTATTGTTGACAAACTAAAATATATTGTTTGAATTATAATTATAAACTATATTGAGAAGAAGCATATCGTCAAAATTTCTATTGAATTTCATCTGAACAAAAAAAAGAAATATTATTTACTATTTTTTGTTTAACTTTATTAATTTTAAATAAAAATAGTTTAAATTAATCTCATCTATTGATATTTATCTCTGATTTTATCGAGTTGGTATTCAAATAAAAATATTCGACATACTCAGATTGATTGGATCGTTTTAAATCCTGGTGAGCAATTATTGAATATAATTATTAATCGTTTAATTAACAATTAAAATTAAAATAAATTGATTATTCAGTAGATCTTTTAGAGCAATAAAACATTAAGAGATATAATTAATAGACGATCATCGATGGTATTCGAAGTTTTTTCAATCCGACTAAAAAATATTTTTCAATCTAATTAATGTTGATATCTTTTGTTTTCATACTTGCTCATTCAGGATTATTAAACAAAAATAAAGAAAAAGAGAAATCAAAACTAACTGTTCATATAGATCAAAGCTCAACAACTCAACTATTTTAACTCGAGTATTCCTATAATCGACAAAAATAAAGATTTCCTTGCCGATCAAATGACAAAATTTTGGGACAGGTTAGTTGATTTGCTTGTTCTCCTCGACTATTTTCACCAACAACGACATTCTCTTGTGTCGTTCCTGTCGAGTATCGGAAATAACTTTACTTTAAACACATTCACAGAACAGTTAAGAAAAATTTATTGTCAAAAATTGACCAGTAGTTTTCTTTTTGAATTATAAAAAAAGAAAATGGCATATAGATGGCCGCTAAAGATATCAGTAGCGAATGATGAAAAGATAATTTTAATAATTAAATAGCTCATAACGAAAGTTGTCTTCGTGCGTGAGATGGAACTATTTTGTTACTGTCACAACATTTAGTTTATTGTGATCACAATGACAAACTGGTAAAGTAGCGTTATCACTATCCCCGGTATACGATGTTGAAATTACTATTCCACCATCTAGTTGTGTCGTTCTCATATAAATCATTGCATTATATAGAAGTATAATAATGGAGACTTGAATTTCAAGATATTTAACATTTCTTTATACACTTACAACATCAAAACAAATCAACTTTTTCTTCCGATTGCATCTAGTACTCATTTGTTATTATTGCGATAATTAGATTATTCATATTATTTATCAAATTATTAAAAAAAAAAACAAAGAATCGAGTTTTATCAATCAACACTATTCAAGAAATAATCAAAATATCAAATTCATTATTTTTATTTAAATCGTTCCCATAGAGTTGAAGAACCATTTAATTTTATTGTAAACATATGTTGATTACCAATAAAAACATCATATTCTCCGGGATGAATCCATTTTGAGCCATCTCGATCAATTCTAAACAGTGTTTCGATATTTAATGGAAAAAACACTTGTTTTGTTTCACCAACATTCAAATAAATACGTTCAAAACCAAATAATTGTTTTATTGGTGGTATTTCATCATCACAAAGAGTTTGTGGTACTTTTATATATGCTAAAACAACATCATCACCATTCATTGAACCAGTATTTGTTACATTCACTCGAAACAATTCAATTAAAACACCACGTTTATCATATTTATTATTCAATAATGATTCAATTGAATATGAAACAGTATTACTATCATTGTACCAATAATAATGAAATGATGTATATGATAGACCATATCCAAATTCAAAGACTGGTTGACCAGTATAAAATTTATAAGTTCGACCAGGACTAGCATTCGATGGTCTCATTCGCATATCAAGCATACTCACTTGATTTACATATGAATCTGGATAAAATGTTATTGGTAAACGTCCAGCTGGATTGTATTGACCGAAAATGACACTAGCTATTGCAGTTCCACCGAATTCTCCTGGATAACCAGTCCAGATGAGACTGCCATATTGAGGAGAATCACGTATATAAGATAAATCTAGTGAACTGCCAGACATAATAATAGCATTGAGTGGTGAACGAACAACTTTTTCAAGTTGTTGTAAAAGTTCTAATTGAATATCAGGTAATGTAATCGATATTCGATCTAAATCCTCACGCTCGATTGATTGATCTAATCCACCAATATAAAAAACGAAATCAGCTCTACGAGCTAATTCTATCGCTTCAGCAAAATCAGTTTGATTTGTACCAGAAATTTGACATCCAAATGCGTATTGAATATTAATTGATTTATCTAAGAAAAAGAAATAATAAGGGTTTACTTATAATAATAATAAAATACTTGATGTAATAGTATTAAATGCCATCAATGGTGATATAAGAAATGGAGCTGGACCATGATAACTACTCTGCATCAATTCCGTTGCATTGATTGATGGTCCAATAAGAGCAATTGTTTTATTTGTCAATTGATCAAGATTTAAAGGTAAATTATTATTCATATTTTTCAATAATACAATACTTTCTTGAGCACTTAATAAAGCTAATTGTTGTGCTTGAGGTGTATTAATATTAAATCGATTTAAATTTCGATAGATTTGTTGTTCAGGTGAATCAAAATAGCCGAGTCGAATAAGAATACTAAAAGTACGTAATGATGCTTGATCAAGGTCAGCTTGAACGATGGTTTGATTATTTAAAGCAATTGGAATATTAGTACTATAATAATTGCCACAATCGAGATCAATACCAGCATGTAAAGCTACCGCTACTGTATCTGGATTATTCGATGTATAATGATGTCCTGTCATGATATTTTGAATTCCACTGCAATCACAAACAGCATAACCATCAAAATTGAACGTATCTCTGTTTATATAGAATAAATAATAAGAATTTTATTTTAAAAGAATAAATGTTTAACCTTGCGATTGTTTGAAAAAAGAATCGATTAGCACATGCTGGTATTCCATTGATTGCATTAAGACTTCCCATGATACTTGCAACATGTGCATTACGAAAACATGCTTCAAATGGTGGTAAGTAAGTTTCGACAAGATCTAAATCAGATACTTGGGCATCAAAGGTCCAACGACTCGCTCCATTCCAAGCGTCCATATCATAAGCAATAAAATGTTTACAAGTTGCTGCTATTTTTAAATATCGACTATCTTCACCTTCTTGTAAACCTCGAACCAATGCAGAAACATATTGTGATGCAAGAAAAGGATCTTCACCTGGTGTTTCTTGACCTCGACCCCATCTTGGATCTCGAACAAGATTAATATTTGGGGTGAAAAAATTCAGACCAGTTATATTTTCATTATTAGCAGCACGTGCTTCTGTAGAAATGATATTCGCTACACGATGAATAAGATTCACATTGAATGTTGAAGCAAGATTGAGTGGTGATGGAAAAGATGTTGCTTCTGGTACACCAATAGCATGTGCCTTTAGATACATGACGCCATGTAAAGCTTCATTCCACCATTGATACGATGGAAGACCAAGTCGAGGAATAGGTTGAACCGTGTTTATCAACCAATTTGCCTTTTCTTGTATCGTCATACGACTAACTAAATCAGTTGCGCGTTGTTGAACAGATAATGATTGATCGCAGATAGGAAATGATTTCAGTGGACCGGATTTACAATCAGGAAACAATGCTGTTTGACCATTAGCCACCGCCGTTGATATTGAAATAAGGATCAAGACGAAACAATACATCTTGCTCCCTAGAATAAAAAAAGGCATGTCTGCTTTTTGCATAAAAGTATATCTACTTTTATCAGATAAAAAAGACCTGTAACGACAAATGCGTTTTGTCTAACAACTACCTGTCTTTATTCAAATATTCTTCTTTTATATCCTCATTCTCACTGTTAGGTACAGGTTTTGTACTTTGAGTTCGATTCAACAATATGTTGACCTTTCTATGTCTATCAAGAAATAAAAAGTGTGTCCTCCACAATAGTTATGCACACACATATATAATATCCAGATATAAAGAAAGAAGAGGAGAAGAAAGATCACAAACAAAGGTAACAAGAAAGAAAAAACATAGAGAAAGATGTCGTTCCTAACACCCTTCCCCTTACAAAAAAGTTTTTTGTTCACAAAATACTTTTAGCTTTTTTCATATAGAACGATGTGAACAACAGAAAAAAAAAGAAAAAGAGAAGAGAAAAAAAATCTGACATAACTATAGCAGTTAGAGAAAGAGCAAGTTCAGAATATCACATAGAGAAATGAGAAGAAAAAAAATATAACAATAAAGGAAAAGAAAAAAAAAAAGGAAATATCACAACGAAAGAAAAGGTAGAAGCTGTTGAATTTCTGAAGTTCAAAATCAGCTTTACCATGTTCTTCACTCTTCATATATAATTCTTGTTCATCTTCAATCTGACATAAATATTGATGTAAATGTTTTTGTGGTTCTAAACGTAATTGATTAAATTTTTGTTCTAATGGTGATAAAGGTTAGAAAAATTTGTTTTGCAACTTGTTAACATGTTGTATCAATTTCAGCAGATTTTCTGGTTCTACTTGTTTTAATTTTTCAGCTTGTATATTTAATTCGTCAATTTGTTGTTGGCGTTGTAATAATTCTTCTTCAATAGTTGTTTGATTAAGTAATAAAGTGCTTGTTGCTGTTAAAGTATTTTCTAATGGTTCAAATGTTGGTGTTGTTGTTGAAATTCGTTTACGTAGTTTTTTTTTTTTTTTTTTTTTTTTGTGTGATTGTTGTGATTATTCATGATGATGTTGATGATTATGTTGATGGTGATTTTGATAATGATGTTGATGATGATGTTGATAAATTTGATAATGTTTCCGATCAAATATATCTTCTGGTATTCGATTTTGATACTGTTGTTGGATCAAGGCATTTTTTACACCAATAATTAGTATGCCATCAGCCTCCTTGATGTGTACATAGTTGATGTGATGTTGTTTTAGAATTTTCTTGATTGATGGCATAGTAAATTTATAATACATCGAACGAGTAAGATAATATTGATAACGACGCGTTCGATGTGTATTATTTCGTTTCTGATTTCGTCGATGCCTTGATCCTTTTGATCTCTGTTGATGAGTTTTTCGACGTGTTTTTGTTGGTGGTGCTTTGTCAACAACTGCAACTGGTGGAAGTGTTGGATTATGATCAATAATAAGTTCATCATCTTCATCACTAATTAATTCAGCATCATTGACCAATAATTGACCAGTAAGTTCTTGTTTATCCTTTGGGGTCTTTTCATTGCCAGGTGGTTCATTCGTAACTGGTTCAATGAGTTGATGGAGATAAATTTCATCATCATCTGATATCGGTTGTAAATCATCATCATTAATATTAAATAATTGTTGTGGATCAATATTTTTCTTTATTTTTTTATTAGTTTTTGTGTTTGATGAATTAATTGTTGGAAGTGGTAATGATTTAAAGGATGTAAATAATTCAACAATATTGGCATTTTTTAATTTATTAAATGTCCAATATTCTAAAACTGGTCGAATAAAATACGTTGTTGAAAAACAATCATATATGGCATAATTAATCATTTTTTTTCTTCGACCAAATGATAATGTTGAATTACTGGATGTTAAACCTGCAGCCCAATTATTAACTGTACTTGATTTATCGATGAACATGTGTGCTGCATAAATTAAGACCTTCTGAAGAGACCATTTTTCACGTGGACGATATGGACTTGGTTC